CTGTGTCTCTGTCTCTGTCTCTCTCTCTCTCACACACACACACACATACACACACATATGCCTCAGTTTCCTTATCTGTAGAATGGTAACAATAATAGCCTCTACCTCATAGGCTTATTGTGAGGATCAAATGAATCAATATCTTTAAAGCACTTTGCAAATCCTAAAAACTCCGTAAATGCTAACTATTGGTAGGAGGAGAAAAACCTACGTCACCTTAGGCAAGACATTTTGTTTCTCTTGGCATCCCTTTCCTCATCTCTAAAATGAGAGGGTCATGATTCCCAAGGAGCCCTGAGGAAGCCCGCTGCCCATCTCCTTCCAGAGGGGATGGATTCAGGATGCAGGATGAGACGCAACTGGGGATGTGGCCAACATGGGAACTTGTTTTGTTTGACTCTGCTTTTTATAAGGGGTTAGGGTCTTTGTTTTTTCCTGGCTGTGAGGAGGTGGAATAGAGTGAAAAAGAAATGCTTGATAATTGGAAAAATAAAATTTAGTTTAAAAATAAATAATGTGTTTTAAAAAGGGGCTGGAAGTAGGTGGACTTTAAGGTACACTTCAACTCTAAATCTCCGTGTGATTGATTCATTGGTCTTCTTATCTCGAACATACATCCCTTCCAGGTCTGAATCTAATGATCCCCAGGTACGTTTTGTGCACGCACACGTACGCATACACATACAACACTCATACAATCTTTCTAGCATATTTTCAAAACAAATACACTCATGCAATAAATCATTCCTGTATATTAATCAGTCACCCAACAGGCATTCATTAAACACCTCCTACTGTGTGCCAGGCATTTGGAGATACAAAGACCAAAACGAAGCTGTCCCTGCCCTCAAAAGGCTTACACTCTCTTGGTGGTTATGGGCTCTTTATTAACACATATAATTTATGTGTACACTCATTCCTATCATTCATTCATTCAGTAAACATTTATAAAGCACCTACTAGGTGCTGGGCACTGTGCTAAGCTCTGGGCATACAACAAGAGGCAAAAGAGAGTCCCTGCCCTCAAGGAGCTCACAAGTTAGGTTTCACACAGAGAAAGGCAGCCTGGGGTAGGGGCCAGAGTGCGGGACTTGGGGTCAAGAACAGTGAGGTTCAAATCCTGCGTCTGAAACTCACTAGCTCTTTGACCGTGGACAAGTCACTTCTCTCTGGTCCTCAGCTATCTCATGGGTTAAATAGGAATGCAGCTCCCTCCTTCACAGGACTGTTGGTGAGAAGAGTGGATGCATGGGCTTTTTGTTAATTATTTAAGTACTTTCTATGTGTCTGTCACAACAATCAGGGGCCCCACCTGTTTTAGCCTTTTCTGACCCCACCCCCACTCCCTGTCCCCTGCCTTGGCAATTGCTTTAAACTCCTCCATCCTCACGACCTGGTGTCCGTGGCAGATCGAGCCCCTGAGCGGCCCCCTGGAAGGAGGGACCCTTCTGACAATCCGTGGGAAGAACCTGGGCCGTAGATTCAGCGAAGTGGCCCACAGCACGTGGATCGGTGGCGTGGCCTGTGAGCCCCTCCCGAGCAGATACATCGTCTCTGAGGAGTGAGTAGCTGGGGAGGGGCTGATGGTCCCAGGGGGTAGTCCTCCCTTCTCACCTTTGGAAATCCTAGCGTGGTAGGACTAGGAAGGAATTTGGGATCACCTAGTCCAGCCCCATCATTTCACAGAAGAGGAAACTGAGGGCTAGAAAGAAGTATCTCTTCCAGAATCACGCAGCCAAATGTTGTCAAAGCTAGGCAGGGAACCCTGGCTTCCTGAATCCCAGAGCAATGCTCGTTTGGTCACAGCATGCTGCAGCCAGCACAGATGAGCCCCACAGCAGCTCAGTTAGGGGTTCCAACCCTGTCCTTGACCTGGGGAAATCCAACAGGTACTTATTTATTAGATGCCTACCGCGGGCCCAGACACTAAAGGGTAGGGGTTGGGGGAAGAAAAGAGATGCTTAAAGGAAGCAGCATGGGACAGGGGGAATGTATTAGCTCTGGAGTAAGAGGACTTTGATTCAAATCTGACCTCTGATGCTTAATACTCGTATGGCCTTGGATAAATCACTTAACCTCCCCAGGCCTCAGTTTCCTCATCTATAAAATAAGAAGGTTGGATTAGCTGTTGTCTCCAAGAAGGTTCGTGCTTTCAAGGAAGATGCAGTCTGATTGGGGGAAGCATTACAGGATGCAATGGGCACTATATTTAGAGGCAAAGAACCTGGGTTCAGATCTTGGCTGTACTGCTGATACATCACTTTGAACAAATCACTTCTTTTTCTGGGTCTCAGTTTCTAGTTCATTAAACAAAAGCTTCGGCCTAGGTTTTCTTGAAGACCCCTTCCAGTGGTCCATCCTATGTTCTTATCTATGAGGTGGATACATGAAACGGTCAAAACAGTCTAGGTCAGCCAAGCAGTGAAAGGTCTGGTGTGGGTGCTAAGTTACTGCAGGTCAGAGAAAGGTGAGATTAGTCAGGGATTGGGTGACCAAGGGAGGCTACCTTGTTATTGTCATTCCCCACCACCATGTTTGTGGCCATCTCATCATCATGGTCCCTTTGGTGGTGTCTGGGAGCCTGGGGACCCCATACCACCCTCTTCTCTTTAGTTTTCCACAGGGGAAACAAGTGGAACTGAGGAGCTCCTGGAGAGAGAAAATTGTTCAGCTGCTACAGCATCTTCCCCCTTGGGCTGGTTGGGTTCCCAGGGGAGCATTTTCCTGCCCCTCCTTATCAGCTTCTTTTTTTTCATCAGGATCGTTTGCTGGACTGGCCCATCGCCCGGCCCCTTTTCCGATGTTGTATCTGTTAATGTGAGCAAGGAAGGGAAATCAAAGGAGCACTATTCCTATGTGGTAAGGCTCTTTCTGGATGATTCGATGCCCATCCCACAAGGTCTTGCCATGCATTTCACACTGACCAAGATGTTCTGAGAAAAGGAGGAGGAAAGAAACATTTATGGAGCGCCTGTTATGAGCCTGGCAAATGTTATCTTGTTGGAAAATGGGACCGCCCTAGATGGTAGGATAAGGGGATGGGGATGGCATTTCCTTTCTCCTTCCTGGCTCCAGGTTTCGGTAGGTGGGGAGCAGGCAAGAACTGAAGTCTCTTGTTGGTTTAACCCTATGACTCCTAACCATTCATCTCTGTCAATAAATCGGATGCCAATGAGACTGTGTCAATAGCTCCAAGACTTCAAAAATTCAACATTTATTCAGTGTCAGAATGGTGCAGTGAAAAGAATGCTGGATTTGAAGTCCAAGCTCTTGAGTGTGAATCTCATCTGTGCCCCCTTATTGTCATTGGTCTCCCTGGGTATCAGTTTCTCATCTATTAAATGAGGGATTTGGACCAGCCGACCTCTGACTACAGCCATACTCCTAAGTGCCTATTATGTGAATGATGCTGTGCTAGGAATGGGAGATGCAAAGGCAGCACGTGGAGAGAGAACTGGACCTGAGCTGGGTTCAGGTTCTGCCTCTGACAGAGACTGGCTATGTGACTCTGGGCAAGTCACTTAACCCTCTTTGCTTCAGTTTCCTCAACTGGGCACATGACCCATGGCACATGAATTCACGTCTCTGAGCCTCTCTGTAAAATGAGAGTGTTGAACTCAAAGGGTGTATGGGCCCAAGCAGTTCTAAATCTATGAGCCTATGATAAAATGAAAAAATAGACCCTGCTTTCAAGAAATTCCAAAGATGGAATGTGGAGGTGGGATACAACACGTAAACAGAGGAGTGCAAACGAGACCCTTTGAGTCTGGAGAGAACCCTAACAATCAGGGGAATTGAGAAAGGCTTCATGGAGGAGGGGGCACCCCAGCTGAGTTGGGGGGTTCAGTGGTGTAGTTACTGATTCTGCCAATGGAGGTGGTGACCCTGCCACAAATCAGGACCTGCTCTTGCATAGTGGTTGTGGTCAAAACATTCATGACCCGAGACCACCCAACACTGAGTCTCTAGGCTGGTCCTCAGATAGAGGGATTGATATGGTTGATCCCTGGGCTAGTCCAGGGTGAGATGTCAAAGACCCCGAGAATGGCAGAAGTAGAAAGACCTCAGATGACATTGAGTTCAACCTCCTCACTTGACAGAAGAAGAAACTGAAGGCTCAGAAAATCATCTCATGGGTAACACTGATGTTCCTCCTCATGGAAAATAGTCTTCTCATCTTTTGCCTGGTTCTACTGCCAGGCTTGGGATACAGTGCCTGGCCCTGTGCTTAGTACTGTCTGTGATAGGAGGGAGAAGAAGGAGGAGAGTTGGGGGAGGGAGGCCTTGCGGTGCCTGCCCTGGGGGAGCTCAAGGTCTTGCTGGGGAGCCGTGGGTCAGCAGCAGGAAACCATTCCAGGAGAAGGCAAGAGTAGGCATGTGTCCATTGTGTGCTGCTAGAACAGGGCTTTGACCTGGCTGGCACAAAGGAGAGAGCCCTCTGTGATCTGATGCCAGGTGTGTGGGGCAGACAGTCAGGAGTCAGCAAGGGGGCGTGGGGCAGGGAGAGCTGGGTGGACTGAAGAAGTCAGGGAAGGCTTCACTTGAGGAATCCTTCCTGCTTCTGAAGGAAGGCGGAGGCAAAACAAAAACAAACCAAAAACTGGAGAAAGAAGGGCTGGGGGTTGTTCTCATATTAACTGAGGAGTTGGCAAGCGGTATGGCTGTGTCTAGTGGCTGAGAATGTCTTCTCTCCTCTCCTGTTATTTCTCTTCTCCTCTCCTCCTCTCCCTCCCATTTCCTCCCCTCCTTTCCCTTTCTTTCCCTTCTTTTCCTCTCCTCTCCCCTCCCCTCCTCTTCTCTTCCTTATTCTCTTCTCTATTCTTTCTCTTCTCTTCTTTCCTCTTTTCCCCTCCCCTCCTTTCCTCCTCTCCTTTCCTCTCCTTCTTCTTGCTCTCTCTTCTCCTCTCTCCTCTCTTTCTTCCTCTTCTGTGCTCACTTTCTCCTCCTCTTTCCTTTTCTTTCCTACTCCCCCTTTTCTCTCATTTCCCCTTTGTTCTTTTCTTTTCCTTATTCCCTCCCTTTCCCTCTACCCCTCCCCACCTCTCTCTTTCCTTCTGTATTTCTCCCTTGTTCTGTCTTCCTTGCTTATCTCCTCTATTTTCTTCACATTGCTTTTCTTTCTTTCTCTTTCATCCTTGTTATCTTCCCCTTTCTCTCTCTCTCTCTCTCTTTCTCTCTCCTCCTCCCCTCCCCTCTCCTCTCCCTCCCCCCTCCTCTCTCTCCCCCTTTCTTATTCTCTCCACCTTTCTTTTTCTTATTGCCCCCTGCCTTCCTCTTTACACTCTTTGTCCTCTTCTCCTCCTTCCCCTTCCCTTTCCCTGTCCCCCATTCTTCCTGCTCTTTCCCCTTTTCTCTCTTCCTTCTTCCTCATTAGCTCCCAGTTGTCTATTCCATGGAGCCAGATGTTGGTCCAAAGGCTGGAGGCACCAGAGTGACTATCCGAGGGAGTGACCTTGGAGTGGGATCCGAACTCCATGTCCTGGTCAATGACACCAAACAGTGTTTAAATCTCGTGTAAGCCATGGGACCAAGGTGGGTTGGACTGGGCGGGGACAAGTTAGTAGTACCTGAGTGATCTCAGGGTCATTTCTCTCTTCAAGAATCTCCTTGTAAGCCGTTGGTTGGGATGCTCCTGGGAGCATGTTTGACCCCCGGGATCCTTCAGGGACTTTTCCAAGGAGGGAGCTTCAGTAAGCAGACTAGACCATAAGCCAGAGCTCTGGCCGTTGGGGTACAGCCCATACAGAATTAATGGGGGGGACTTCCTAGACTTCAAAGCCATGAAAAATTTTCCTTTAACCTGAGGGGAAAAGCCCTGTGTCCCTGGGGTAGGCTTCCTGAGCTAGAGAAGACTAACTATGAATATACAAAGTGCTTTGAGATCCCCTGGATTCATTCAGTCATTAACTCAATCAATAAACATTCATTAAGCACCTGCCCTGTGCAATGCATTGTGCTAAGCATTCTTTGGCTACTCCCCAATGGCTTTCAATTAATCACCAAGTCTGCACTGAATACCTCTCATGTTCCATGTCCTGTGTTTTGTGTGTATAGGAGATAGGGAAGAAGAAAGCACCATGCCTACCCTATAGAAGCCTATAGTCTGGAAGCTGAGATAAGCTTCTGTGCTTATTCTACATGACTACAGTCCAATTCAGAGCACTGTGCTAGGCACTTAGGGAGACCTCTAGAGACTTGCAATCTGGTATGAGGCAGAAATGCCATTAGGAGATCAGAGGAGAGAAAGAACATTATAGGCTGAGGAAATCTGGGAAGGCTTCATAGAAGAGGAGGAACATGAACTGGGTAGGATTTGGATGAGTGAAAGAAGGGGGAAGGCAGTGGTAGAGAGATGGAAATGAGAATGTGTTGGAAGTTAGGGAGGAACCTAGCGTGAATCAAAGAAGAGAGAAGGAAGGATAAGGTTGGCTAGGTAAGACAGGGCCAGATTGCAGAAAGTCTCAAATGCCAGGAGGAGGAGGAGGTTGGATTTGATGCAGTAGGCATCAGACCAACACTGAGACTCTCAAACAAGGAATTTACAATACAAAAAGGGCTATTTTAGGGAGATTAGAGTGGTGGCATCATGGGCAGGGTGGCTCAGTGGGAGAGGGCAGTGGCAGGGACTTGAGCTTTAGTATCTCAGGGATGAGATGATGGAGTCTAAGGCAAGGAATAGGGAGGAGAGGAGGGGGATCCTGTTGCTTTTCCAGAGCTGCCCTAAAGATGGCGCCCTCTTCACCCCCGACTCAGCAGCTCTGCCTAGACTGGATCAGGTTAGCCCCTGGGAACGGTAGAGAGAAGGTGATGTTAGTAGTGGGATGGCCAGCTCTGCCCAGAGCTTGCTCAGTAGCCAGCCACTCAGAAGCCCTGGCCTCCCTCCCACAGGCGCACAGACAACACCATCACCTGCACCATGCCAAGAGGAGAGCTGCTTGCCACCGTCCGTGTCTGCGTGCGCTTTGAGCAAAAATCTTGCATAAGCAGCAACATCACCTTTGATTACATGAGGGACCCAATCATCACGGCCATCAGTCCCAGAAAGAGCCCGGTCAGGTGAGCCTCCCCTCCAGCCTTCCCCATCCCACTACGCTCCCTACCCCCACCCCCATCCATTTCATTTTTATCCTGCCAGCATAAATTTGAATCACATAATTACTAGCTTTGATCTCATAAGATACCATGTCAAAGAATCAGTGCAGCTGAGTAGTATTAAAATTCAGTGGTGCCAACATCCCCACAAATGTTTAAGCCGGTCACCTTAATCTTATTCCTTATGTGGAGAGAAGGGGGGGCCAGGGAAAGCCTTGGCTGAAGGAGTACGGCAGCCCCTCTGAAGCCAAGAGGCCTGGCCTCCCACTAGCTCTGTGACCCAGACAGAGCAGCTCCTCTCTCGAAGCTCCAGACAAGTCTCTGAGACTCTAAGTAGCACGGTTGGTGTTGAGAGAGGAATTTTCTTCAGCAGTCCTCCAAAATCAAGTTTATGAGAGAGACAGAGACAGAGGGAGGGATAGAAAGATACAGATGGAGATGGAGAGACAGAGGGAGGGAAAGAGAGA